TCTTATAAAGCACAAATTAATATCATTAAGATCTCGAGCACAAATATAAGGTTGTGAGAGTAAGGCCTCATATCCATGCATGTTTTAATACTAGTGTTTACATCCTTAAGGTTGTTAAAGGTCCGGCTGAAAAACTAGAATTTAATTCATTAGCAAGAACTTGTCAGAGCCTTTATCGTAATGCACATCCTCTCGGGGTTTGATAACTCAGGGTCATCACTCCTTCGGGAAAAGGCACGGGAACCTTCTGCTATCCAAATCGGATCTCAAATGGTACTATGCATCTTTTTTTATTAAGAATATGAGGAGCATACGACATTTTATACAAGTGGTGCAATCATAGGTGTCAAGCACTCCTCTACAGAGACCTGGTTACAAGTACTAAACTATTCTTCCTGGAACTCCACAGGCTCTCGCGATCTTCCACAAGATGAATTCCTCGTTAAGTCTCCTAATTACCGGAGGAGGCATCGTTGCTACTTTATCAAGACGTGATTGATCCTTTCAAGCCAAATAGCACATAGAGAGTTCAGCTCACTGTGATTGCGCACTGGCATTGCATTTCTCACGAGAGGCCACCACTCTGACAACGATGTTGGCCTGCTAGGCGTGAACTAATGAAGCCGAAGGGGCAACATTGCATTATACTAGATGTTGCGGGAAAGAGCACCCCAAGAGCATGTGGCTGGCGGTCTCCTCCTCCTAGTAACAGAGCACACAAACATGGCACATGCTATATCTACCGCCGAGCTAGTTTGTCTCCCAGTAATTTGTTGTTCTAACCATGGGTTTGAGTCTATAAGAGCAGCTCCAATAGGTGCCCTATTTTAGGGAACCAAAAACTGCTCAAAGCAAATTTTACAACACCAAAAAATCCTTTCCAGGGCACCAAAAAATGTCCAACTCCAACAGAGCCCCCTAAAGTGTTTTGGCAATCAGACTAAAGGAAAGCGAGCTAATCAACTGAATGGGAATATGTGACACTTACTCTAGTACTTACTTGGATATTCGACTTTAGATCTCCCGTGGTTTTAAGCAATTCTCCTAGCCAAGGCTCCATCAGCTCAGTTTGTAGCATGGCTTCTTTGCTTGAGGTCACCTTATGCTATGGAGTTCTGGCAACCGAAAATAATGTTGAGGTTCGGGGAAGTTGGATTCTAGTTGGTTGGCACAATGGCTGAGACACTTGCTATAGCTTGATCTTGTTCATACAGGTTGTGCTTTTGCCCACTTGGGTTGATCTCGGGGAGGCTTGGAGCAACATCTGATGAAACCTCCATGGTGGTAGGACTTAGTCTAGGACTTGGTGGATTATCTCTTCAGTGTTACATGCTTCATCGGCACTCGGTTCGTGCACCTCCGGCTCGGATTGCAAATTTGTCGTGGGAGCATCGGGATTCTCCTTCTCTGCGGCCATAACATCTATGATCTTGTCAGTTATACATTGGTTCATCCTTTCAATCGGGCAAGACACCAGAAAATTGCATACTTTAGAAGACATCGCATCTAAATCAAGTGCTCGTTTGGGTTTGTCTACCTGCACCTTCTATAGTATGGCTCATAAATCTCATAGGAGGAGCAGTTTTGCGAAGGCTTATGTTAAGATGAGAATTTACTCGATTTTTTAAATTGAGAATTCATAATTGGATACACTTACTCTGGAGTAGCGGACATAGTTTTCAGTTTCGGAAGCACCGTTGATTTTTGGGGTTGATTGGAAGTCTTCTTGACAGGTACCTTATACTTTGCAGGAGTCGGCGCCTTTTGCTACACAGGGTTTGGAGTTGTACATTCTTTTTTGGGCGGCCGATTGGCAGGTCCATCGTCAGTTAGGCCCTCTCAGTTTTTCCATTGACGTTTCGTGTTAACATTCGTTGGGGGACAGGGCGATGATTCAACCTCGTCATCAGAGTCGTCTACATCATCATTATCATACTCGTCTGGTGACCTTTGTCCCGTACTGTTAGCTCTCTTCAGCCAGATCATCATTAGGTGGAGGAACAAGGGAATGCATTAATTGAGGCATTTCCAAGTCTTGAAACTGGCATTACTACGGCTGGTCATAGTGGAGAGTAACTTAGACTAGTAACATACATATGTTACTAGTCTATGTTACTACCTTCATAGTGGGTAGTGTCATAGGTGTGGTAACATAGTTGCCTTCATTTATTACTTTGTAGACTCATTATGCATTGGAAACCGCTATGTGATGGTAACATATTATGTTACTCTATTTGCCTCTCTCCTCATTAACTACTTGCCACATCACCAATTTTGCTTATGTGGCATCTATGTTACTACCTATGTTACCCACTATGACCAGCCTACTAGCCACTAGAATGTATGTTACATGTAGTAGTGGATTTGTATTAAACTCTCTTCAACTCAAGTGGCAGCCGAAGAGGTAGCGAACTCCATATAAGCATACCCATGTCATTTGGTTATAGGTTCGGAACCTCGGTAACATGAAAACAACATGCAAGAAACACCTCTTTGGAGAACATGACTAGGGCTTTTACCTCCACCATAGAGGGGCCTGAACCTGTATAATCATTGTGTCACCCACCTGCGCATCACTAGACCAAGCCTCGTTTTCTCCCCTCTTTTACTATCAGATTTTATCCCACGACAACCGAGGCATCCTATTGGGGCTCCTCAACCCCCTGGGCATCCACCCCAGGTGCCCTGGTCTGGTTGTCTAGGTCCTTCCCGACATAAAAATGACTTCTATAATTTTGGGATTTTTCCTGTTGCTGCAAGTTTTTTTCCTCTGAAACCAAAACCATGAGCTGGCACTAAGAACTTTAATATGTTAATCCAAGTAAAACTCAAAAAAAGTTGCCTAATATTATGATGATATGGCATGAACAATACTAACATTGTATAGATACATTTCAAGACATATCAGATGCACTGAACCAATTTCTTGAAAATACCAGGGATGTCAAAGATGTTATAAACTAGAAAGCTTGCATAAATGTTCAAGTCACGCTCCAGGTACCAATTGGAGTGTTGATTGGAAGTTTTGGACCTATGCTGAGAGTCTCGTTCAGAATCCGATCAAACAAACTCGAAAGTGTTGGAAGAAAAGTTATGCATCGGAGTTTGGTCCATAGCCTTCACCTATGCTCCAGGCCTCCAGCCACTTCGGTGTCAATCTCATTGGAAAGGAGGAAGGGTACATGGAGCAAAAAGAAGAAAAAACACAAGTTTGATAGACACTAATTCAGTGGTGAACACATGTTATGCCGAGTAAAAGAGTAAGGAGCCCTAGCCTCCCACTCAAATTCCCAAGTTGTCTATATATTCAGAAGATACACCGAACTCTTATATATATGTGTGTGTAAGTGTTGAAGGCATTGTTCAGAATGCTCGGACTGATTCTTCAGGGTGAAAACCTAGATTGTAGCCTTGGGTGGCTGGATCCGGTGACGGTGGCACTTGAGTGTCGCTCCCTTCTTGAAGGTGTTGCTGTTGAAGAACCTCGTCGTCCGAGTGATGTCATGACATGGTCGGTGCAGATATGGTCATTGTTATAGTTTGTC